GTGAAGAGATTACGTATCTGATGATGTGCACAGACGTGAACAACGATGGCAAAGTAGATTATATGGAATTTACAGAACGATTCCATAATCCGGCCAGAGATATTGGTGAGAATTTTGAAAAATTCACATATCAAATGGATTTCGACTAACCATCTCAACAACAGTTTCTGAGTGCGGGCAGTTGAAAAATGCAATCATTTTACATCAGTCCGATAGCAATATCAAGCTTGAATGGGCGTTTTTCACCAACGATTAACACAAACCCCAACATACAATACTTCAAGAAATGATCGGTCGTTCGCTGTTTTTAAATGTTGTCAAATGGAGAAAAGACAGCGATCGATCGATTGATCAAAAATATTAAGAATGAAGTTTAAAATTTTATAAGCCAAAATCTGCTTCCCTTCCTTCACTCTATTACATTGGAGGTCAAGTATGCTTCAAGAAATTTAGGTTATGAAAAGTGAAGGTTGATTAAACGTTGAGTATTCGATATCCAGGTAGAGAGGTAAAGAAATATTCGAAAAGTTTCTGCTGAATCCTCAGCATTAGTAACAGAACGAACAATCAGAGTTTTATTGATAATATTTTGTGAAATCGTTTAGGTTTCAATCTTGCTGTGCTGTTAATCAATCTCAAAGAACATATCACCAATGATCCTCGTCTGGAGAAAATCATCGAAAAAGCGAGCACACTGCTTGACTATTTTGATCCATATTTGGGACGAATCGAGATAATGGGCTCGAGTAAACGAGTTGAGAAGATTTACTTCGAAATACAGGAGTCATGGNCAGATTAGGTATGTCAATTTAGCGTCATACAATAAACCGAATTTGTGACTGAATGATTTGCATTCTTGATGAGAATTTTATTATGCATCATATTGAAATCTGTCAGTTAATGTTTTGAATTTTGAAATAATCCCTTCCGAACAATTCAGAGATTCAAAGAATTCCTTCTTGTTCAACGTGCTACAAGATGATGGCGGTGATCAGGGCAAGCTGGAGGCTTTCATAAATTTCTGTGAGGATACAATCTTTGAGGTGAGTAATGTTCGAAAGGAACCGAGTGCTTAAGCAAAGTTTCAGTTGCTCAAAGAAATTTCACTTCATTGCGTTTACGATCCAGTGAACGAACAGTTCCGCGTGTATTTCGTTGATGATTTCAGATGCAACACGCAGCTGAGATAAGTTCTGGGGATGCGGCTGATTCGAAAGTTGAGCGAGCGATGAAACAAAGAGATTACTTCTTACAGCAAACTTCACCAAGCGAGTAAGTATTACTTAGTATTGTTCTCAAATTTCGTATCACTGAAATGATGCACTTCCATCCATTCATCATGCATCACGTGTCCAACTTCAGACAACTCTCACGCACCATCAAAACTGGTTACAACTATGGTGTGTCGGCAGCAAGTGCATTGAAACCATCAAACGTGAGTAAATCTCTGCAAAGTGCTGCCGCAAAAATCAGGTACACGAATCTTGCGTTTTATTGTTGTTCTCTACTGCACTGTGCGTGGAACAATATTACACTGATTGTGGAAGAACATCTTCGACTGTTGTACATACTCCCATTCGTCTCAATACACATTCAAGCGCAATTAGTGATTATAAATAACGAGAGTGGCACTCATAAGCTAATTTTTGAAACCCCTGACAAAACGTGAACTCAATTCTCCTTAGTCAGATGATGAGTCATCGTTTTGATCAATTGATAAAATCGTAGAGTAAGCAGAGAAGAAGAAATGACTCATTCCTGATTTTGGGCTAGATATAATTCTCACGAATTGGCTTGAGCGATTCCGCAACGAAATTGCCTTTCAGAGCAATGACATGGGCGCAGTTGATGTTCGAAGCGGCAAAACTGATCATTCGTGGTGGCCATAAGCTGGGAATAGCATTGTATTTGATCGCTTGCACTATCTACAGTTTTGGCTACTTCTTGATGATCAGTGGAAGAGACGAAGAAGAAAGCGAACAGGCTGCACTACCGATGCCTGAAAGGTGACTGTCGATTTTCTTCTTACGGAAAGCGATGGATAATTTTTGACCGGTTTAGCGATCGTCCGATTGTCATGCTGAATGTCTGTAATTTTTAGTGCAACATCACGTTTCCAAGCGCAACACTCGACCGAAATTCCTTCATATCGGAATCGTTCTCGCGAATACGATATATTCGGTGTGCATGTGCATCATGACGTGGACCAGCAACCACCATCGCCGATGTCGCAAACCCACACTTCTGAAAATGAGCTGGGTCAGTGCTATAGTCTTTGCATTTGGAGTTAGCTCATTGCTAAAACAGAGCAACTGCAAGTCTAAATAAGAGCTGGAATCACTCCTCCAAATGAAAATGCTCTCAATTTTGAATTTATGAAGCATGATTGCTCTTATGGTTTATGAGTTGATTTCGCAGGGATTCTCAGTGCCTTTGATCGAAATTATGAATAGTCAAAGCTTCTCAGCTGGTCATAATTCATTTGATTGCCACTTTCAAGGATTCATATGACGATTTTTACTACATTTCTGTGGATACTTTTTGATTCCGGGGTGAAATGGGTCATTTGACACGAATTGGTGGTCTTGAAAGTTGGCAATATCGAATAACTCCAATATATTTTAGCTCCTCCATCCCCAACGCCTCCTCCTGAAGGTGGATTGCAAACTGCCACTCCAGTACCACAACAACAAGCTAGGTAGGCTTCTTCGTTTGTTGAGTGTTCTCAAAACTTTTTGAAAATTCTCATAGTTATTACTGCTCTTATCGTGCAGAACATGAAAGAGAATAATAATAATAATAATAATAATAATAATAATAATAATGAATCAACTCCTCTCAAATGGAATAAACTCATTATGATAATAAGTATTGTTGATCAACACGATAAACCTCTTATAATGACCTAAACTGTTTGTTCAAGTTCAATGAATTCACTGGTTACATTGTTGTTGAAGTTTGTGAAGTTGCAGTGATATTCAAAGTGTTGGATCAGCTGCATTTGCAAACGTTGCAATGTCTCAGGCTGGCTCAGATTTTGACTCGTCAGCCGATTTTTATGAGCCAAAAATCGCCGAACAAGGTTCTTCGAGAAGCAAGGGATCGATTATGGTGAAGACACATTTTGATCGCCCGTTAAACTTTCGTATTGTCCTCTTTTGAAAGACCTTTTTCGAGTTTTCTTTGCATTTTTCAATTTTTTTCTATTTCAAATTTTTAAAAGTCAATTCCTCTTTATTAAAATAATGATGAGATGAATCGGAGTGAAGCAGTCTTTAAGTTGCAAATTCTCGGCAGTATATCTGAAGGTTGTTCATGACGATTAGGCAAACACTGGCAGTGATTCCATGATATCCATTATGTTGGATGATGGAGGTTTGAATGATCAAATGTTTTTGTTTTAGAACATGTTAGCACGCAATTTCAAAACCATCGAAAAGCTAACACTCTATCTGGCATTCTTCATCAACGTTATTCTGCTCTTCCATCGAGTCGACATCTCAGCGCGAACTGAACCAGCGACAACGGGTTCATTCATTTATTCAATTGGTTTCTCTGAACACGTAGTTTGTTGCATTGGTCACAGATTTTTAAAGTTACTTATGAGCTACCCAATGTGTTGTCAAAGGACGAATCCAAGTTTCGATGAACTCTATTCAAAATTTTTTGGAGAATTCAAAATGTTTGAGCAGAGTGTGAAAGGTTTGAAAAAGTTATCGCTCACCATATCTGAAATTTGAAAAAAATTGGTAAGCGATAATAATGACTGCAATATGTGATCAGTATTTATGCAAATATGGGCATTATCTTCATGAATCAGTGGGATTCATGAAGATAATGTATGCGATTGATGATTCAACACATTTTTGACGTGGCCAATATTTCGGATGCTATGAATACGTTATCGAATTGTTTCTTGAATCGAATCAGCTCAGTTGATCTGATTTCGTGAATTGATCATTCAGCACATGAAGGTGACGAAGCAGAAGAGGAC